CCCCTACACTTTCTCGCGCGTCTTCGCCCCGCCCACCCCGCGCCGCTCCCTCCGGTTCCCGAGTTTTTTCGCCCCGCCTACCGCGCGCCTCTCCCGCCCTTTCTCTCGTTCCTTCGCTCCGCCCGCCCCTCCCTTCCTTGTGCACCTTCGCCCCTCCCACCCCACTGTCCTCCCGCCATTTCTCGCGCGCTTCCGTCCGGCAAACCTGTAAACTCCCGCGTTCCTCTGCGCGCCTTTCGTCCCGCCTACCTGTGCGCTCCCGTCCTCCCTCGCGTGCGGCGCGCAGTTTCCGGCTCTACCCGTGGGCGTTGGTGTCGAGTGGTGCTTTTCTCGTTAGGTTTTTTTGGGGGCTTTTTCGCCCGAGATTCCCACTCCCGGCGTTCCTTTTCTCGTCACTGGCCTGCTTCGTGATTTGGGGACCCTGACTCCTCCAATGTCCCGTGGGAGGTGCAGCCGGGCGCTTCACCTGCCACTTGAGGCTTTTTTCCCCGTAGGTGCGGTGCCAGCTCCAGCGGTCCGAGGCTTTCGAGCCCACCCGCCCGCCACACCTGGCCCCTCGTCTTAAGAGGCAGCACATACCCCAACCAGAATTTAAGGAAGTCCAGGGAACTTAGTTTTACAGCCTGTTTAGCATCCGTTTGGGTGCAAAATAGTTAATTTTGTCTTTTTTAAAGAAATTGCGTCTTGATAGTGTTAGGCCAGATGTTTTCCTGTTCTGAAACTGGGCCATGTTTCAGCTACACAGTTAAATGCTTTGGCTTGCCTTGGATTCCATTTTCTAGTCCCTACTTGTAGTTAAGTATATGATGTTCCGACAGTATTGGACTAGAACTAAGGGAAGTGGGAAATTACAGGTTTCTTGCCCGCTTTATATCAGAGCCATGTTTTCCTAGAGCCCAGGGAAATAATTGCATATTCGGCAATTATTGCACCTACGCCACAAACAGCCAGAGGGAAAGTGACCCTGGGGTCATCTGGGGGCATTTGTGTTTTCCTGTACAGTTTCATTCTATTGGTATTAAGGAATGAGGATTTATGCAGGCACTTCTGATCCCTTATTTTCTGAGATAGAGTTGCCCAGGCTGGAGTGCAGTGGCGTGATCTCGGCTCACTGCAACCTCTGCCTCCCGGGTTCAAGTGATTCTCCTGCCTCAGCCTCCTGAGTAGCTGGGATTACAGGTGCTTGCCATCACACTTGGCTAATTTTTGTACTTTTTGGTAGAGACAGGGTTTCACCATGTTGCCCAAGTTGGTCTTGAACTCCTGACCTCTCGTGATCCGTCTGCCTCAGCCTCCCAAACTGTTGGGATTACAGGCCACCATGCCTGTCTTTCTCATCCCTTATTAACTGAACTAGATGCATTAAAGTCAAAACCTTGAGAAAGGCTCAGTTCAGCCTCTGTAAAAATGAAGACTTGGCCCTGCTATAAGAACTGGGGTGCAGGAGGGAGAAGATGATCAGTTCCGGTTGTTGCATTAGGTCTGAGGATTGTACGTTAGTTTCTAGAATAGAAAAGTTTCGGCAAAACGTGAGTTGTGGTCACTATGGTTGTAGGTGAACCACCTTAGAAACAGTGTATGCAAATAGAAGACTAAAAATGTATTACTGAGCCAAATAGAATTTTTGAATGGCTTTTTGCTTCTTTCTTTTTTTTTTTGAGACAGTCTTGCTCTGTCTCCCAGGCTGGAGTGCAGTGGCGCGATCTCGGCTCACTGCAAACTGCGCCTCCCGGGTTCATGCCATTCTGCCTCAGCCTACCCAGTAGGTGGGACTACGGGCGTCCGCCACCATGCCCGGCTAATTTTGATTTCGTGTTTTTAGTAGAGACGGGGTTTCACCGTGTTAACCAGGATGGTCTCGATTTCCTGACCTTGTGATCCACCCGCCTCGGCCTCCCAAAGTGCTGGGATTACAGGTGTGAGCCAACACTGCTGGCCGCTTCTTTTTTTACTCTAGAGGTTGGCCATTAAACAGTTATGATTAATCTTTTTCATAAGTTAGACATCTAAAGCCTCTGGAAAATGCCTGCTTCTCTGCCAGTTTTGATACCGGCTTTGCTTTCTTTCTGACCTCATGTTTTTCTTTTCCCCAGTGATTGATTTCTTTCTTTCTTTTTTTTTTTTTTTTTGAGACGGAGTCTCGCCCAGGCTAGAGTGCTGCAACCTCCAACCTCCACTTCCCAGGTTCAAGCGATTCTCCTGCCTCAGCCTCTCAAGTGGCTGGGATTACGGGCACCTGCCACCTTGCCCAGCTAATTTTTGTATTTTTAATAGAGATGGGGTTTCACCATGTTGGCCAGTGTGATCTCAAACTCCTGACCTCAACTGATCCGCCTGCCTCAGCCTTCCAAAGTGTTGAGCCACCACACCTGGCCTCCGCAGTGATTTCTTGTAATTTAAGAAACCAAGATAATCTGAAGTCTTAATGTAATTTTAAGCCTGATAATAAGGTATCAGCAATGTAATTTTACAAAATTAAGCTCTGTGGTACATTTTCAAAGCACACCTTTTATTTTCCTTTTTCATTTTGTTTTAGGAGCTCTTTGTTCAATGCCTAGCCACCTATTCCTACAGACACGGCAGTGGAAAGGAAAAGAAAGTACTGACTTACAGTGATTTAGCAAATACTGCACAGGAATCAGAAACTTTTCAGTTTCTTGCAGGTACTTAGTCTTTGAAACATTCTGGTTAAAAAATGATTAGTAATCAATAGCTCTTTCCCCACCCCTTGCCTCCCTTCTGCTTTCATGGAATTAGACTTTTTGCTACTCTTTCCAGGCCGCAAAGTGCTATGAGCTGTCACAGGAAGATACTTTTAGTCTTCTCTGAATGTGTGTGTTATGTGGTCCACCTAGAACAACAGTGAAGCCAACAGCATTCAGAAGATGTTGGTTGGCCGCCTGTGCTGGGCAGTCCTTTACAGGGACCCTTCCTGCCACTGAAGGGAAAACTCAGGGTGGGTCCACATGCCCATAGTTAGAGCTTAAGTCTGCCCTGGGGCTAGCCTAGCCTATCTCAGGTAATCGGGCAGGGTTGCTTATAAAAGCAGCTCATAGAGACACCATGGTTTGTACTCAGTGGAATAATGGAAAGAGGCCTATAGCATTTGTTAGGAGACAATGCTAGTTTCTGTGATATTTTACCCAGAAATGTAGCCTGAATTTCATCTTGTTTTGGAACCTCTTGTAGAGGTCAAAGCAGGAACTAGTACATTTTGAAATGTGCATTGCTGTGTTCATAGTCTACCATAACCAATTGCTGATGTAAGCTTTATGTTTTTAAGATATATTACCAAAGAAGATATTAGCTAGTAAATACCTGAAAATGCTTAAAGAGGAAAAGAGGGAAGAAGATGAGGAGAATGACAATGATAATGAAAGTGACCATGATGAAGCTGAATCCTAAACCAAAAAAGTGCTTTAAAAACCAGCCTGGCGAGGACTGCCCTGGACCCGCTCCACTGTCTATAAGTAAACACAGCACTGCCCGCTTTTAGCGTCTTCACTTCCTCACAGACTTCCAGTGCGTGATATTCTTTCGAGGTATTCTTTCCAGGTCAAGATTGAGCGCCTCATGCACCTGCGCCACAAACAGCCAGAGGGAAAGTGACCCAGACAGCAGTCCCTCCTTGACAGGCCCACCCTGCAGCTCAGGCACCAAGAAAGCAGCCGATACTGGCAGCCATTGCAGCTCCAAACTGCAGAGGCAAGGCCAATTTTAACTTTTCAATTTACAGTCGATTTTGAAGAACTTCTATGTATCAGTTATGTAAATTCATGTATGTATATTTTGGAATCAGTTCTTATAAACAGCTCGATTCAGTTTTAGCTAAATATATAGTTTATAGGTCGTATGTTATATTTGAATTTTTGTCTTAAGTTGACTGTTCAGATATTTTTCTACTGTAAAGAAACATACTTTTCTGTTAAAGATCTGTACATGTTTTTACAGTAAAATGCTTTATGAAACTAGTTCTAGAGCCCTCTGTGGCTTTAAGGCCTTGCTTACTGCCTGCAAATTTTGAGAAACTTAAAAATAAGCATTCTAACACTTTATTCCCACAGAAAAATTCCAAGTCAAATTATCAAATCAAATACAAAAATAAGTCTTACCTCTTGTATAAGCATGTTGTACTAAAAAAAAGTTTTGAAACATTTTGTATATTGAAGATCTCT